GGCCTGGGGAACCCCATAGGCCTGGTCACCCCCAAAGACCTTCTCCATGGGCCCTGGGCACCCCTAGAGCCCCCTCCTCATGGGCCTAGGGACGCCCAGAGCCCACTCCCCCTGGGCCTGGGCACCCCCCATGGGCCTGAGGACCCTCAAAGGCCCCTCTCCTTATGGGTCTAGGCAGACCACCATGGGTCTGGACGCTTCCTGAGCCCGTTCCCCATTAGTCTTGGCACCCCCCATGGGTCTGGGCATCCCCAGAGACCCCTCCTCATGAGCCTGGGTGGACCCCCCCACCATGGACTGTCCTCCCCTAACTCACAGGCACTTCCCCCCCCGCTCCCAACCCCCCTTCCCCAACCACCACCATCTTATTTCAACGCATTTCAGCATCACACCGGGCCAGGCCTGTACACCCCATCCAGCCCCGCAAACCAACGTCACAGGCTGAAATTCCCCCAAAACATCTCAAAGTTTGTCAAGCCCTTTTCCCAGGGCTGATTTCTGCAGGTTTTCAACTTTTTTTTTTTTTTTGCAGCTACACAACCCTTCCATCCCTTGTCTTAGCAATAACCTGCTGTTATTGACCTAAAAAAATAAATCACTTTTAAAACCAGAGAATGACCGTAGCACCTCTAAACAAGTTAAAAACTAAAATAAACACTGTGAGGTTATTTTAGTTCGTGGCCAGGCTGCCTCCCGCAGCTCTCACAAGCGGCACCGTGTGGAGCTGATTCTGCTGGGACACGTCACGGGGAGGGCGGCTGGTGATGCTTAGTATTTATTTGACACTCTGGGAAGCATAAAAACCTCCCCAGACTTTACCAAACACCTCAATAACTTTGAGATAAACCCTCAATGGTCCCTTTTGCAGCTCAGGGAGCACATAGGGTAAAGCCAAGGAAAATAAACACGCGGGGGATGGCTAAACTTGCTCAGGATGGGTTCCCAAGGATGCACAGACTCTCTTTTTACCTCTTTGCCACACAGGTTTCTTGCTTCCTTCCACCCAACACCAGGGAGCATCATTCACGCCCGTCCCGACCCAATCCGGTGCCATGGGCCAGCAAACACCACATGGGATCTGTTAAAAAGCAAATAATTAATGATATTTAGTTCTGCACAAAAGCATTCCTATGGAGAACACGACCAGAAATGGCATAGACATGCAAATGGCAGTAACGGCTCCGTGTCGCTGGCAATGGATGCCGACGGATGGCTGCCCCAGCACTAACACCAACCCCGCATTCAGCCCTAACTCCAGTCCCAGCCCCAATTCAAACTCTATAACCCCAATCCCAGCCCTAACCCCAATCCCAGTCCCAGTCGCAGCTTTAACCCCAATTCCAGCTCCAATCCCAGTCCCGATCCCAGCCCTAACCCCAACCCCA